GTATCACCGGTGTACTTCTGTATATTCGACCAAATATATATATAGTATCTTAGTGTCTGTGTTTATTTGTCACCATACTTTATGTAACAATAGAACCGTTACATTGGTGACCCCAGAGAGTTTCGACGATACCCAGCCATGATGGACTACAACATGGACTCTCACTGGACCTCCACTGCTGCTGCTTGCTGTGGACCACAGCCACCTGTCGTGGAACGTTGCCAACACCCTTGCCACAGCTATGATTTTCATCGCGATCATCTCTGCATTTTCATCTACTACGGCTTGCTGCTCCACGATCACTACTCACTCATCTGGCAGCTTCATCAGTAACTACATCATGTGGGATCTACAGCCTGCCCTGCCGACTCTCCGTCGCTGCCAGGGCACTGCTTGTTCTACAGGGGCGCCCACGAAAGCTGCTCTTTCGTCAGATTCATCTACACGTTCACTGCATTCTGATACTCTGCCGACTCAAGCACTTTGCGCAGTACAAGACTTACAGCTTGCGTTTCCGACTCTTTGTCGCCTCCAGGACAATTCAGCTCTAGCAGTGATTACCTCGTTGTCCTAACTACGTGCCTACATTACCTCCTAATGTCCTGGTGCCCGAGCCCATCCGCCCTGGATCTAAATGCTCCACCAGCGACCCAAGGACGCAACAATTATGCACCTTCTTCTCTCCTGCTACACCGAGCTTGTCCACACACTGCCTACATCTTTTGGTACCAGACTACAATTTCCACAGTCAACAATGTAGTACTCGGCGTGTACAGTCCTAATCAACTCAAGACGCTACAGCTTCGACACAGAGCAGACAGCAGACTACGACCGCATCGAGCCGCCACGCTCTCGCTCCCCGAGTTTAGACACTCACAAACCTCAATCGAGCCGCCACGCTCTCCCACATAGAGCTCCACGACTCCGGCCTCACTCAGCTCTCTGCTCTGCTCCAGGCTTTGTCTCAACGTCTGCAACACTGCTAAATCTAGAGACACATCCGCCGACTACGCAGTTCACTTTTCGACCACAGTTACCAGCAGCACCACCACCTACGACAACGGACGATCCTGTGCGACCTCCCACCCTACGACCGCAGTTAGATGACATCAGCGAAGAGAAGGAAGTTAACTTTGATGGTTATGTAACGCGAGCAGGGCGTACAATTCACCGACCAGCTAAGTTCCTTGATCAAGTATTTTCCCTTTCATCCCCTGGGAGGGGGAGTTCTGTAGCGAGTAGATTATCCCAATAATATACTCGCTCCAAATATAGTGTTAGTATTCCTGTCAACCTTTGGAGATGAATGAGGTGAGGCGTTGCCCGGGCAGCACGGTGAGGTGTTGCCTGAGCAATATAAGCGGCAAGAATAGCAAACATTAACTAGTCTACTTTCAAGTGTGGTCTAGAGCAGACACTTGCGAGATACTGTACCAACGCTCAGTGCGCTCAACTCACACCAAAGTATCACCGGTGTACTTCTGTATATTCAACCAAATATATATATAGTATCTTAGTGACTGTGTTTATTTGTCACCATACTTTATGTAACAATAGAACCGTTACAAGTTTAGCAATGTGTTTAAGTAAGATTGCGCAACTGTTTTAAGTTTAGGGGGGACTAAGTATTTTGCGCGAATGTGAAAGCCCTGGGTTTATTTGTGTAAGTTAAAAATTGAGTTTTTGTTTGTGTGTAAGAGTTTAGCAATGTGTTTAAGTAAGATTGTGCAACTGTTTTAAGTTTAGGGGGGACTAAGTATTTTGCGCGAATGTGAAAGCCCTGGGTTTATTTGTGTAAGTTAAAAATTGAGTTTTTGTTTGTGTATAAGAGTTTAGCAATGTGTTTAAGTAAGATTGTGCAACTGTTTTAAGTTTAGGGGGGACTAAGTATTTTGCGCGAATGTGAAAGCCCTGGGTTTATTTGTGTAAGTTAAACAAAAAAAAAAAATGTTTGTTTTTGCGAGCGAGTTTGTTTAAGCATGTGCTATCATTAAAGAACTTCCAAAGTAATGACAGTAATGCCAAAATGAATTCATTTTTTCACTTTTTGAAAGGTGGAGGTGTAACATTTTCTGGAAAACCTAAACCTTTGCGCTTGATATACCACGGCACTGACATAAATGGCAACTGTCGACTTTTAAATTTTAACACATGATTTCAAAAAGCATTTCATAGCAACAGATAGTGCCAGTCGATGTGCTATATGAAGTTATTGGGCCCCCACCACAATTGCTGAAAACTATTATGATGTTAAAAAATGAAATTTAATACAGAATACGAACAGATTTCCAGTACATATTAAATTGCTTAAACCACTCAAATACTTTCCTTTATAGTATATATACACGAGTGTCAATTTAACGTTTGGAGTGTCAAACCCAACACAATATGACTGAGGCCCCACTATTTAAACTTCTTTTCGTATTCTATGAAATATCACAGGTATTGTTAATGCTTGTAACGTTTATTACAAAAGATAGACATACATTTGATGCTATTTTCCATATTAAAATCTAATTTGAAGCCCGAAAAATATATCTATAAAATCTATAAACAGGTTAGAACCATACAAATTCAAGTATGCCTTTTTCACCAGTAATCAACTGAATGCCACAGAAAATGGAATCTTTACTTTAGCTACAGAAAACGGAGCAAAGCCAAGGGGGGATGACTGGAATAAACAGTTTCCAACCTGACTCTTCTCGCACATAAACATGTCTTTCTTGACCTCATTTCAAATTATATAGAGTATTGAAAGCTCATTTTCCATAGCAAATATACTAAGGAACTCATTTTACGACTAGAACGCAAACTAGGACCCCTCATTCAGATTCAAAACACGAGAATTATTGACTAAACATTTCCCCACTATCAAGCACACAGGACTCTTTAAAGCTATCTTAACTTCTTTAAAACCCCAATATGACCCATCTCACATGCAGATCCTGTTCTATGACTCGCCCTTCATGTCAATGTACCCCACAGTATCATGCAAATTCAAGATAAGGCTTACTACACCTATATATCCAAACTTGGTCTTTGTAAGGAATCTTGACCCCCCCTTGTATGCTTGACCCCCACTGGGGTTATCCACCTCTGACCATTACAGAAAATGGAGCTGTGCCCAAGGGCTCCTTATACTATTCAGTCATAGCCTCATTAAAGTACTCCAAAACTTCTATATTCGCTTTCAACTGTGTTTCTTGGTTTGAATCTATTGAACATTCACCCTCTGATCCATTCAAAAGTAAGGGCCCCCAAATTTATACCGTAGTACTCTCGTAACACCCCCGGGACAAATCGTGCATTTTGCTCATGCCATTAAAATACTCCAAAAACGTTTATACGCCTTTCACCAGTGTATTTTTTTGGTTTCCAACTATTGAACATTCATCCTCGGTACCTCTCATAAGTAGAGACCCCCTTCTTGAGGCCCTAGACTCATCTTAAAGCAAGGCGACAAAAAGTAAAAAAAAAACAGGTTAGGATAGGGCACCAGTTCCTCAGGTATACCCTGGGTGGTAGTCCCCCCGGGACCCCAGGGGGGACCACCACCCTACCCCCGCCAGCCAGCCAGGAGCGCGCTGACTGTGCCCTAACCTAACCACCTAAAATAAGAGGGATGGACGATCTGGCCCGCCAGGGTCAAGTCGGCATGGAAGCGCCCAACCGTTTCTGAAAATTTTTACCTCAATTCGTCTCCTTTTACACTACTCACCACATCACTGCCTAATGCATTCCATCCATTAATTACTCTGACACTGAAAAAGTTCCTTCTTACGTACTTGTGGCTCATGTGGGTACTCAGTTTCCACCTGTGTCCCCTTGTTCGCGTCCCGCAACTGTCGAATAGTTTATCCTTGTTTACCCGGGCGATTCCCCTGAGGATTTCGTACGTTGTGATCATGTCCCCCCTTACTCTTCTGTCTTCCAGTGTCGTAAGGTGCATTCCCACAGACTTTCCTCATAACTCATGCCTCTTAGTTCTGGGACTAGTCTAGTAGCATACCTTTAGACTTTTTCCAGCTTCGTCTTGTGCTTGACAAGGTACGGGCTCCATGCTGGGTCCGCATACTCCAGGATTGGTCTTACATATGTGGTGTACAAGATTCTGAATGATTCCTTACACAGGTTCCTGAACGCCGTTCTGATGTTAGCCAGCCTCGCATATGCCACAAACATTATTCTTTTTATGTGGGCTTCAGGAGACAGGTTTGGTGTGTTATCAACTCCTAGATCTTTCTCTCTGTCTCTTTCATTAAGTACTTCATCTCCTATTCTGTATCCTGTGTCTGGCCTCCTGTTTCCATTGCCTAGTTTCATTACTTTGCATTTACTCGGGTTGAACTTCAACAGCCATTTGTTGGACCATTCACTCAGTCTATTTAGGTCATCTTGCAGCCTCCTACTATCATCCTCTGTTTCAATCCTCCTCATAATTTTTGCATCATCAGCAAATGTTGAAAGGAACGAATCTATACCCTCTGGGAGATCATTTACTTATACCAGAAACAGTATAGGTCCAAGGACTGACGCCTGCGGGACTCCACTCGTAACGTCTCGCCAATCCGAGACCTCACCCCCTCACACAGACTCGTTGTATCCTGTTGCTTAGGTACTCCTTTATCCAATGGAGTACCTTCCCTTAACTCCAGTCTGCATTTTCATCTTTTTCACTAGCCTCTTGTGTGGTACTGTATCAAAGGCTTTCTGACAATCCAAAAATATGCAGTCTGCCCACCCTTCTATTTCTTGCCTTATTTTTGTTGCCTGGTCGTAGAATTCAAGTAACCCTGTGAGGCAGGACCTGCCATCCCTGAAACCATGTTGATGCTGTGTTACAAAGTTCCTTCGCTCCAGATGCTCCACTAGCTTTCTTCGCACAATCTTCTCCATCATCTTGCATGGTATGCAGGTTAGGGACACTGGCCTGTAGTTCAGTGCCTCCTGTCTATCCCCTATCTTGTTTATCGGGACTACGTTAGCTGCTTTCCAAATATATGGCAGTTAATCGTGATAATGAGCCAGTGCTTCCTGACTGGGATAATGAGCTCGTGCTTCCTGATTGTGATAATGAGCTAGTGCTCCCTGACCGTAATAATGAGCCGGTGCTCCCTAACCGTGATAATGAGCTAGTACTCCCTGACCGTGATAATGAGCTAAATCTCCTTGACCATTATAATGAGCCAGTGCTCCGTGACCGATATAATGAGCCAGTGCTTCCTGACCATGATAATGAGCTAGTGCTTCTTGACCGTGATAATGAGCTAATTCTCCTTGGCCATTATAATGAGCCAGTGCTTCCTGACCGTGATAATGAGCCAGTGCTCCCTGACCGTGATAATGAGCCAGTGCTCCCTGACCGTGATAATGAGCCAGTGCTCCCTGACCGTGATAATGAGCCAGTGCTCCCTGACCGTGATAATGAGCCAGTGCTCCTTGACCGGGATAATGAGCCAGTGCTCCCTGACCGTGATAATGAGCCAATGCTCCCTGACCGTGATAATGCGCTAGAGCTCCCAGACCGTGATAATGAGCTAGTGCTCCCTGACCGTGATAATGAGCTAGTGCTCCCTGACCGTGATAATGAGCTAGTGCTCCCTGACCGTGATAATGAGCTAGTGCTCCCTGACCGTGATAATGCGCTAGAGCTCCCAGACCGTGATAATGAGCTAGTGCTCCCTGACCGTGATAATGAGCTAGTGCTCCCTGACCGTGATAATGAGCTAGTGCTCCCTGACCGTGATAATACGCTAGAGCTCCCAGACCGTGATAATGCGCTAGTGCTCCCTGACCGTGATAATGAGCTAGTGCTCCCTGACCGTGATAATGAGCTAGTGCTCCCTGACCGTGATAATGAGCTAGTGCTCCCTGACCGTGATAATGCGCTAGAGCTCCCAGACCGTGATAATGAGCTAATGCTCCCTGACCGTGATAATGAGCTAGTGCTCCCTGACCGTGATAATGAGCTAGTGCTCCCTGACCGTGATAATACGCTAGAGCTCCCAGACCGTGATAATGCGCTAGTGCTCCCTGACCGTGATAATGAGCTAGTGCTCCCTGACCGTGATAATGAGCTAGTGCTCCCTGACCGTGATAATACGCTAGAGCTCCCAGACCGTGATAATGCGCTAGTGCTCCCTGACCGTGATAATGAGCTAGTGCTCCCTGACCGTGATAATGAGCTAGTGCTCCCTGACCGTGATAATGAGCTAGTGCTCCCTGACCGTGATAATGCGCTAGAGCTCCCAGACCGTGATAATGAGCTAATGCTCCCTGACCGTGATAATGAGCTAGTGCTCCCTGACCGTGATAATGAGCTAGTGCTCCCTGACCGTGATAATACGCTAGAGCTCCCAGACCGTGATAATGCGCTAGTGCTCCCTGACCGTGATAATGAGCTAGTGCTCCCTGACCGTGATAATGAGCTAGTGCTCCCTGACCGTGATAATACGCTAGAGCTCCCAGACCGTGATAATGCGCTAGTGCTCCCTGACCGTGATAATGAGCTAGTGCTCCCTGACCGTGATAATGAGCTAGTGCTCCCTGACCGTGATAATGAGCTAGTGCTCCCTGAGCTTTACGAGGCTAAACAAAAACAAATACAAGCGTGTATTCAAAAGAAGTAATAAAGTTATTGTATAACGGAAGCATAACACAAGCATAACTACAGTGTCTGCTGTATAATAATGAATTATTTTCAAAACCCTTCATGTTTACACAAGAGGCTGACAAGAATTATACGAGCGAGGAAGTCTGAATGTGACAACAATTAAAGTTGACCTGGGAACACAAAGTCATCACAGTTCACAGCTGAGGTGCTGAAATATTCAGAGCTTGGCTGGGTCACCAGATGACAGGTGGAGGGGGGGGGGGGGGAGAGTTGTACTCACCTACTTGTACTCACCTACTTGTGTCTGCAGGATCGAGCACTGTCTCTTGGATCCCGCCTTTCGAGCCATCGGTTGTTGACAGCAATGACTCCGGTCTTATTTCCTTATCATACCTAGTTATAAAATTATGAATAGAATTTGCTTTCATCACCTGCTCCTTAAGTGCATTCCATTTTTTCATTACTCTCACGTCAAAAGAAAACTTTCTAACATCTCTGTGACTCATCTGAGTTTCCAGCTTCCACCCATGTCCCCTCGTTCTGTTACTAATCCATGTGACCATTTCGTCTATTTCAACTCTGTCAATCCCCACTGAGTATTTTATACGTTCCTATCATATACCCCTTCTCCTTTTTTTCTAGTGTCGTAAGGCTCAATTCCTTCAGGCGGTCCTCATACCCCATCCCTCGTAACGCAGGGACAAATCTCGTTGCAAACTTCTGAACCTTTTCCAGTTTCCTTATGTGTTTCTTCAGGTGGGGACTCCATGATGGGGCGGCATATTTTAAGACTAGTCTCATGTAGGCAGTGTAAAGCTCCCTAAATACCTCCTTACTTAGTTTCTGAATGTTGTTCTAACTTTTGTCAATGTATAGTACGCTGCTTTCGATATCCTATTTATATGTGCCTCAGGAGTTAAATTAGGTGTTACGTCCACGCCCAGGTTACTTTCTCGCGTCGTCACAGGTAGGCAGTGCCCCCTTCATTGTGTACTGTCCCATTGATTTCCTATCACCTAGTCCCATTTCCATAACTTTACATTTGCTTGCTCGTGTTGAACTCCAGTAGTCATTTCTTTGACCATCTCTGCAACCTGTTCAAATCCTCTTGGAGGATCCTACAATCCTCATCTGTCACAACTCTTCTCATCAACTTTGCATCATCCGCAAACAATGGCATGTAGGATTCTACTCATGTAAACATGTCGTTAACGTATATTAGAAATAGAATTGGTCCCAGAACCGATCCTTGACGTACTCCACTCGTTACTGTTCGCCAGTCCGACTTCTCGCTCTTTACCATAACTCTCTGGCTCCTTTCTGTTAGGTAGTTCCTTACCCATGCTAGGGCCTTTTCGCTCACTCATGCTTGCCTCTCAAGTTTGAATAGCAGTCTCATGTGTGGTACTGTATTAAAGTCTTTTTGGCAATCCAAAAATATGCAGTCTGCCAACCTTCTCTGTCCTGCCTTATCCTCGTTATTTTATCATAGAATTCCAAAAGATTTGTTAGGCATAATTTCCCTTTCCAGAACCCATGTTGATGTTGGTTTACAAATCTAATGTTCTCTAGGTGTGCAACCAGTCTTATCTTAATTATTCTTTCAAGTATTTTACAGGGGATGCTTGTCAGTGATAAAAGTTTATAGTTAAGTACCTCCTCCCTATAACCTTTCATGATAATCGGTAAAACATTTGCCTTCTTCCAGCAGTTGGGCAATTCTCCCGACATAAGTGACTCATTAAAGATCATTGCCAGAGGCACGCTGAGGGCCTGCGCTGTCTCTTTTAGTATCCACGGTGATACTCTGGTCCAACCGCTTTAGTTGCATCCAGTGTTATCAACTGTTTCATTACCTCCTCTGCTGTCACCTCTACATCTGATAGTCTTTCATCTAGGGTAATCTCTTCTAACAATGGGAGCTGCTTAGGCTCGGTTGTGAAAAATTCATGGAAACTTGCATTTAGTGCCTCGCAGATTTCTTTGTCACTTTCTGAATATGCCCCCTCTGTTTTCTTTAGTCTTGTCACTTAGTCGTCCACCGACATTTTTCTTCTTATATGGTTGTGTAGAAATTTAGGTTGCTTTTTCACTTTGATAGTGATATCGTTCTCATAATTTCTTTCCGATGCTCTTCTTATGTTAATGTAATCGTTCCGAGCTCTATTGCATCTGATCCTGTTGTCCTCTGTCCCTTGTCTTCTGTACTTCCTATTCTCCCTCCTGCTTCTCAGTTTTGCTTCCAGACACTATCTATTAAACCATGGGTTATAATATTTCCTCTAACTTTTTTCCTTTACTGTTGGTATAAATCTCTCTTCGGCCTCCTGGCATTTCCGTGTGACTAGGTCCATCATATCTTGGACTGTTTTTCCTCTAATTTCTTCCTCCCACTGCACGTCTCCCAGATAGTCCCTTATCCTCCTTTAGTCCCCATGCCTGTAGTCAACTCTCCTTTCTCAGACCTCTTGTCCCATGGTCACAAGTTTGAGGTCCATCATTCAAAGACTAGGACACAATGGTCACTGGCCTCTAGAGGTATTTCATATTCCAAATTCTCGATGTCTTCTACGTCTGGGTGAAAATAAGAAAATAAGGTCTAATAGGCTGGGTGTATCCCCTCCTCCTGCCCTTGTGTCTTCCTTCACATGTTGTGTTATGAAATTCCTGTCTATAACATCTTCTAACTTTGCTCCCCACGTTTCTTCCCCGCCATTCTGATTCCTTGATTTCCAAATTACCTCTCCATGATTTAGGTCCCACATGACCAGCAGTTTCGCTCTCATTCTGTGAGCTAATGTTGCTGCCTTCTGCAGTTCATCTATGCATGCCTTGTTGTTGTCATCATACTCCTGCCTGGGTCTTCTACTGTTTGGTGGGGGATTGTAGATTACCAAGATCATAATTTTCCTCCCATCTGCGGTCAGAGTTACATGTATGGAGCTTGTGCTCTCATTTGTACCCAGATTTTCCAGGTTTTCAAACTTCCATTTCCGCTGTATTAGGAGTGCCACTCCCAGAGTTGTGGGGCTGATCATGCACTCACCTAGATGTGCTTGTAGTGTCGAGCTTGGCTTCTAGCCCAGTCTACAGAACGTTCTTATATTAATGCATTGACTCATTTATTACGCTTTTGTCCTATATACATTGCAAATTTGGAATCGAGTTAGCTCCAACGACTTGGGGCCAAGATCTTACTGACGCGATCATACAAGTCATAAAGACTAATACACCGCCTCATAAGTAAGACAGAAACAAGAAACAAGTAACAGCTTACTGGCCCTGCAAGAGGCTTAGCCCACAATTGAAGTCATGTCGATGGTGTATGAGTTGTGTGTTCCGAGTGACTGAGCCACGAGAGCTCCTGAGTTTGTTGATACAGAATGCTGAGGGTGTGCAAATATACATAATAGTGTGCAAGTGTGCAAATATACACAATAGTGTGCAAGTGTGCAAATATCAACAATAGTGTGCAAGTGTGCAAATATCAACAATAGTGTGCAAGTGTGAAAATATACTCAATGGTGTGCAAGTGTGCAAATATACACAACGTCATGGTATCGTAAGTATAAATTAGTTCTACTGCTAATTATTTCATCATTCAAATTTTGTGATATGTATTGTAACTATATTTATATGACCTTTCTAATTCTTAGGTAAGTCACTCAATTTATGCCTAAAAAGTAATTATTAATAAAGATTGCTATCCATCAGTTTAGTCCAGCCAGTAGTGAAATGATTAGCCTAAGTTGTTACAATTAAGTTTGTAATTCTGATAAAGACAATGCTAACTTGCTCTGTTGTTCCTGTGGCTCACTTATGTGAGCCACAGGAACAACATAAGTAAGTAGTCCAACAGTCCAATAAGTACTATTGGACTGTACTTTTTATGAAAACTTTCCCAATTAAAAATATACAATCATTTATGAATAGCGTTTTGGATTTGACTTGACTGTCAGCATTAAGGCACATTCCTAATTTGGTTCCCTTAGTGAAGACTGCAGTGTGAAGGTCACTTTCATCAACCTGTCACGTTGAGGTCAATGGCAGTTAGTGCTTTATGTTCAATAATATCTTGTTCATTGTCGCAAACAGTTCACAACTGTGACACAGTAGCCACCTGAAGATCACCACTGTGATAGAGTAGCCACTTGAAAATCATCACTGTGACACAGTAGCCACCTGAAGATCACCACTGTGACACAGTAGCCACCTGAAGATCACCACTGTGACACAGTAGCCACCTGAAGATCACCACTGCGACACAGTAGCCACCTGAAGATCACCACTGCGACACAGTAGCCACCTGAAGATCACCACTGTGACACAGTAGCTATCTGAAGATCACCACTGTGACATGGTAGCCACCTGAAAATCACCACTGTGACACAGTAGCCACCTGAAGATCACCACTGTGACACAGTGGCCACCTGAAGATCACCACTGTGGCACAGTAGCCACCTGAAGATCACCACTGTGACACAGTAGCCATGTGAAGATCACCACTGTGACACAGTAGCCACCTGAATGTCTCCACTGTGACACGGTAGCCACCTGAAGATCACCACTGGTACACAGTAGCCACCTGAAGATAACCACTGTGACACAGTAGCCACCTGAAGATCACAACTGTGACACAGTAGCCACCTGAAGATCACAACTGTGACACAGTAGCCACCTGAAGATCACAACTGTGACACAGTAGTCACCTGAAGATCACCACTGTGACACAGTAGCTATCTGAAGATCACCGCTGGTACACAGTAGCCACCTGAAGATAACCACTGTGACACAGTATCCACCTGAAGATCACAACTGTGACACAGTAGTCACCTGAAGATCACTAATGTGAAGCCTGAAGAATGTAAACAACTCGTTCTTGGGAATTAACAACACACTTGGAAGGCAGCTGCTGGTAACGGTGCTCACTGGTAAGGCAGCTGCTGGTAACGGTGCTCACTGGTAAGGCAGCTGCTGGTCACGGTGCCCACTGGTAAGGCAGCTGCTGGTAACGGTGTCCACTGGTAAGGCAGCTGCTGGTAACGGTGCCCACTGGTAAGGCAGCTGCTGGTAACGGTGCCCACTGGGAAGGCAGCTGCTGGTAACGGTGTCCACTGGTAAGGCAGCTGCTGGTAACGGTGCCCACTGGGAAGGCAGCTGCTGGTAACGGTGCCCACTGGGAAGGCAGCTGCTGGTAACGGTGTCCACTAGGAAGGCAGCTGCTGGTAACGGTGTCCACTGGTAAGGCAGCTGCTGGTAACGGTGCCCACTGGTAAGGCAATTGCTGGTAACGGTGCCCACTGGTAAGGCAGCTGCTGGTAACGGTGTCCACTGGTAAGGCAGCTGCTGGTAACGGTGCCCACTGGTAAGGCAGCTGCTGGTAACGGTGTCCACTGGTAAGGCAGCTGCTGGTAACGGTGCCCACTGGTAAGGCAGCTGCTGGTAACGGTGCCCACTGGGAAGGCAGCTGCTGGTAACGGTGCCCACTGGTAAGGCAGCTGCTGGTAATGGTGCCCACTGGGAAGGCAGCTGCTGGTAACGGTGCCCACTGGGAAGGCAGCTGCTGGTAACGGTGCCCACTGGTAAGGCAGCTGCTGGTAACGGTGTCCACTGGGAAGGCAGCTGCTGGTAACGGTGTCCACTGGTAAGGCAGCTGCTGGTAACGGTGTCCACTGGTAAGGCAGCTGCTGGTAACGGTGCCCACTGGTAAGGCAGCTGCTGGTAACGGTGCCCACTGGGAAGGCAGCTGCTGGTAACGGTGTCCACTGGTAAGGCAGCTGCTGGTAACGGTGCCCACTGGGAAGGCAGCTGCTGGTAACGGTGCCCACTGGGAAGGCAGCTGCTGGTAACGGTGCCCACTGGTAAGGCAGCTGCTGGTAATGGTGCCCACTGGGAAGGCAGCTGCTGGTAACGGTGCCCACTGGGAAGGCAGCTGCTGGTAACGGTGTCCACTGGTAAGGCAGCTGCTGGTAACGGTGCCCACTGGGAAGGCAGCTGCTGGTAACGGTGTCCACTGGTAAGGCAGCTGCTGGTCACGGTGCCCACTGGGAAGGCAGCTGCTGGTAACGGTGCCCACTGGGAAGGCAGCTGCTGGTAACGGTGTCCACTGGTAAGGCAGCTGCTGGTCACGGTGCCCACTGGGAAGGCAGCTGCTGGTAACGGTGCCCACTGGGAAGGCAGCTGCTGGTAACGGTGTCCACTGGTAAGGCAGCTGCTGGTAACGGTGCCCACTGGGAAGGCAGCTGCTGGTAACGGTGCCCACTGGGAAGGCAGCTGCTGGTAACGGTGCCCACTGGTAAGGCAGCTGCTGGTAACGGTGCCCACTGGGAAGGCAGCTGCTTGTAACGGTGTCCACTGGTAAGGCAGCTGCTGGTAACGGTGCCCACTGGGAAGGCAGCTGCTGGTAACGGTGTCCACTGGTAAGGCAGCTGCTGGTAACGGTGCCCACTGGGAAGGCAGCTGCTGGTAACGGTGCCCACTGGTAAGGCAGCTGCTGGTAACGGTGCCCACTGTAAGGCAGCTGCTGGTAACGGTGTCCACTGGTAAGGCAGCTGCTGGTAACGGTGCCCACTGGGAAGGCAGCTGCTGGTAACGGTGCCCACTGGTAAGGCAGCTGCTGGTAACGGTGTCCACTGGTAAGGCAGCTGCTGGTAACGGTGCCCACTGGGAAGGCAGCTGCTGGTAACGGTGCCCACTGGTAAGGCAGCTGCTGGTAACGGTGCCCACTGGGAAGGCAGCTGCTGGTAACGGTGCCCACTGGGAAGGCAGCTGCTGGTAACGGTGCCCACTGGTAAGGCAGCTGCTGGTAACGGTGCCCACTGTTCTGGTCGAAGTTATTATTGAACGGCTGTAATGGTATAAGTTTTACAAAGCATTTACAATTCGAGACAATATATACACAATTAAAGAAATTCACACAGTTGTGTTAAGAGAGAAGGAGACTTTTCATAGCGAGGGAGACTAACATAGCGAGGGAGACTGTAACATAGAGAGGGAGACTGTAACATAGAGAGGGAGACTGTAACATAGAGAGGGAGACTGTAACATAGAGAGGGAGACTGTAACATAGCGAGGGAGACTGTAACATAGAGAGGGAGACTGTAACATTGAGAGGGAGACTGTAACATAGAGAGGGAGACTGTAATATAGAGAGGGAGACTAACATAGAGAGGTAGAAAGAAATTGAAACATTGATTTTCTTTCAATAATTCTTAAATGTTGACCTGTTCACCAAAGGGAAAATTCGACTAATAATGATTTCACATGTCTTCCTCCCTATCATCCCTCACCCCCCTTTCCCTCTCTCTCTTTCCATCACTCACTCCTCTCCCTGTGTACCTTCCTCCCTCCCTCCCTCAGCCACTGGCGTGGTGACTGATGATCAACCAGGGACCATAAGTCATGGCCCCAAAGTTAAATGAGGCGGTAATTATGAGCTGAAGATTAAGTTTTGTCATGTGTAAATGTTGGTGATGGATGGTTGGACCACCAGCTGGTGATGGATGGTTGGGCCAGCAGCTGGTGATGGATGATTGAACCACCAGCTGGTGATGGATGGTTGGACCACCAACTGGTGATGGATGGTTGGGCCGGCAGCTGGTGATGGATGGTTGGGCTAGCAGCTGATGATGGATGGTTTTACCAGCAGCTGGTGACGGATGGTTCGGCCGTCAGATGGTGATGGATGGTTGGGCCACCAGCTGCTGATGGATGGTTGGTGAATCAGCTGGTGATGGATGGTTGGTCCTCCAACTGGTGATGGATTTTTGAACCACCAGCTGGTGATGGATGGTTGGACCACCAGCTGGTAATGGATGGTTGGTCCACCAGCTGGTGATTGGATGGTTGGACCAGCAGCTGGTGATGGATGGTTGGACCACCAGCTGGTGACGGATGGTTGGGTCAGCAGATGGTTATAGATGGTTGGGATAACAGCTGACGATGGATGGTTGGACCACCAGCTGGTAATTGATAGTTAGGCTAGCAGCTAATGATGGATGGTTGGGCCAGCAGCCGGTGATGGATGGTTGGTCCACCAACTGGTGATGGATGGTTGGTACACCAGCTGGTGATGGATGGTTCGGCCATCAGCTGGTGATGTATGGTTAGGCCACCAGCTGCTGATGGATGGTTCGTCCATCAGCTGGTGATGGATGGTTGGACCACCAGCAGGTGATGGATAGTTGGGCCAGGAGCTGGTGATGGATGGTTCGGCCATCAGCTGGTGATGGATGGTTGGTACACCAGCTGGTGATGGATGGTTCGGCCATCAGCTGGTGATGTATGGTTAGGCCACCAGCTGCTGATGGATGGTTCGTCCATCAGCTGGTGATGGATGGTTGGACCACCAACTGGTGATGGATGGTTGGACCACCAGCTGGTTATGGATGGTTGGACCACCAGCTGGTGATGGATGGTTGGTCCAGCAGCTGGTGATGGATGGTTGGTACACCAGCTGGTGATGGATGGTTGGTCCACCAGCTGGTGATGGATGGTTGGTCCATCAGCTGGTGATGGATGGTTGGTCCACCAACTATTGATGGATGGTTGTACCACCAGCTGGTGATGGATGGTTGGTCCACTAGCTGGTGATGGATGGTTGGGCCGGCAGCTGGTGATGGATGGTTGGACCAAGAGCTGGTGATGGATGGTTGGACCACCAACTGATGATGGATGGTTGGTACACCATCTGGTGATGGTTAGTTGAACCACCAGCTGGTGATGGATGGTTGGTCCACCAACTATTGATGGATGGTTGTACCACCAGCTGGTGATGGATGGTTGGACCACCTGCTGGTGATGGATGGTTGAGCCAGCATCTGATGATGGATGGTTGGTCCACCAACTGGTGATGGATGGTTGGTCCACCAGCTGGTGATGGATGGTTGGTCCACCAGCTGCTGATGGATGGTTGGGCCAGCAGCTGATGATGGATAGTTTTACCGCCAGCTAGTAATGGATGGTTGGGCCAGCAGCTGGTGATGGATGGTTAGGCCACAAGCTGGTGATGGATGGTTGGTCCACCAGCTGGTGATGGATGGTTGGTCCACCAGCTGGTGATATATGGTTGGTCCACCAGCTGGTGATGGATGGTTCGGCCACCAGCTGATGATGGATAGTTGGGCCACCAGCTGTTGATGGATGGTTGATCCACCAGCTGGTGATGGATGGTTGGGCCACTAGCTGGTGATTGATGGTTGGTCCACCAGCTGCTGATGGATGGTTGGGCCAGCAGCAAGTGATGGATGGATGGTCCACCAGTTGGTGATGGATGGTTGGGCCAGCAGCTGATGATGGATAGTTTTACCACCAGCTAGTAATGGATGGTTGGGCCACCAGCTGGTGTTGGATGGTTTGGCTACCAGCTGTTGACGGATGGTTGGTCCACCAGCAGGTGATGGATGGTTGGGCCACCAGCTGGTGATGTATGGTTGGGCCACCAGCTGGTGATGGATGGTTGGGCCAGTAGCTGGTGATGTATGGTTGGGCCACCAGCTGGTGATGTATGGTTGGGCCACCAGCTGGTGATGGATGGTTGGGCCAGTAGCTGATGATGGATGGTTGGGCCACAAGCTGGTGATGGATGGTTGGGCTAGGACCTGGTGATGGATTGTTGGGCCAGCAGCTGGTGATGGATGGTTGGGCCAGCAGCTGGTGATGGATGATTGGGCCAGCAGCTGGTGATGGATGGTTGGTCCACCAGCTTGTGATGAATGGGTGGGCCAACAGTTGGTGATGGATGGTTGGGCCACCAGTTGGTGATGGACGGTTGGGCCATCAGCTGGTGATGGATGTTAGATCCCCCAGCCTGTGATGAATGGTTGGCCCAGCAGTTGGTGATGGATAATTGGGCCATCAGCTGGTGATGGATGGTTGGTCCCCCAGCTATTGATGAATGGTTGGGCCACCAGTTGGTGATGGATGGTTGGGCCACCAGTTGGTGATGGATGGTTGGGCCACCAGTTGGTGATGGATGGTTGGGCCACCAGTTGGTGATGGATGGTTGTGCCACCAGTTGGTGATGGATTTTACCATCACCAGGTGCAAGTTTTTTGGGCAGCGCCACTCGTGCTGCGAGTGGACATACCGCCATGTGCAGCATGTATAACACTCCCGAATAGGAAGAAAACCAACTGGGTTGTTCATCCTGTCACTTGTACCCAGACACAGCTGGGACTTCTTTAACTGTCAAGTGAACAACTTATCAAACAAAAAGATTAACTTTCGTCAACCCTTAAAATCATTCGTTATCTTGCCGGTGCAAATTGGGGGAATTTTAAGAACAGTATCTATTTTTGACATATAGTGTTTTCCTAACTCAAACGATGTGGGGGTTTATTATTCTACACATATTTCTAATGTCTCTCAGGTGTTCACATTCTCTCAGGTAGTGGTCAAAGTGTCCACCACTCTCACCGTAACTCCTCTGCTCAACTATTGTTTCCTTTCCGAATCTCCATGGATATTTGTTTCCAAGACGAATTCTTGCTATTACTGATTCTCTCCCGTGGTCGCCACCTCTTCATCCATAATGATTGGGATTGTCAGTTGGAGCCACATTGTACCAGTATGATGATGATGATAAGATTAAACCACCCAAAAGGTGGCACGGGCATGAATAGCCCGTAAGTGGTGGCCCTTTTGAGCCATTACCAGTATCAATAGCTGATACTGGAGATCTGTGGAGGTGCGACTGCACCCTGCGAGACGGGAGATGTCTCCCGTGTGTACTAGTATAGATATTCATTGATTTGTCCTTCTATCCTCCTTTCCTCAGTAACCATGTCACGGTGATATTGCCTGATAATACCTTTAATTTGTAGAGAAGTCGTTGGGTATGAAGTATTCAATATGGTCTCCATCGCCTTCAGCAGCCAGCACATCTGCTCGTTCATTTCCACAGATTCCAACAAGGGATTGGATCCAGAGAAATTTGACGATTCTTCCTTGATTGGTTCGAACTCTCACCGCTCTCTTGATCTCAGCGACTATCTCAAGATTTTCTGGCCAATTTTTAATAAAGCTTAGTAGCGCTGCTTTTGAGTCATTGCAGATCACTGCACTATTAATGCTTCGTTCAAGGAATCTTAACGCAATCACAATGGCGGTTAGAACTATGCCTCTTGTTGAAGAGGCATAGTTCTCAATACGTGCTTTTCCTTCATTTCCGTGTTGTAAGGGATTATTCCTAATTACAGTATAGGTTGCACCAGCCCTATCATTGACAGGGTTAAATGACCCAACAGTGTAGATTTTATCTAACTATTTTCCGGCTTCTTTATAGATTTCCTCCAGATAATTGTGCCTCATTTCTTGAGTTATCATGTTGAACTTTTTCGTTGCCATTTCATTGATGATGATCTTGCATGAGTCATCCACCCAGGGAGGTAACCTCTCTACAGGCATGAGCTCACGGGCTTGCTCAGGCAGGTTAAATTCTTTGAGGTAGCTGATTGATCTGTTATGCCATTTTCTGTTTCTCCTGTTTCCCCCCCTGAAAGTAGCAATCCACTTAGAATCATAATTTAATATTGAAGTAAACCCAAAAATACAATATTCTATTAAAATATTCCCTAAAACGTACTTACTGCCTGCTAGGATTACCCCACACACATTCTCTCACACTCCACCACATGGTCCACCTCACGGGGTGATGACTGGTCTCATTCACACACCTGACTTTGTAAACTTGTTCACTCCTGTGGTCTCAGCAGCCTGCACACTTGACCACTCCTGTGGTCTCAGCAACCTGCACACTTGACCACTGCTGTGGTCTCAGCAGCCTGCACACTTGACCACTCCTGTGGTCTCAGCAACCTGCACACTTGACCACTGCTGTGGTCTCAG